TAAATTATATTTTAGATTTATGATAAATATTTTATATTGAGCAACAATGTCATTTATGTAACAACCCGGCTGGTCACTACGCACGACACAGCATACTAGAAACACCGCACAGAAAAGAACAAGTGTATACACATAGAGTCTAGAATATACATATACATGATCCAATCTGAACAGAGTTAAAGTGTACGGAAATACAATCAAGTGCTACTAACCCAAGTAGCTCAATAACAAAACAATCACAAAAGAGATCAGCTCCACCGGTCCGTTGAAGACTCACCACTAGTCACTCACCACTAGTCACTCACCTATTCCTGCTCTGCTCCCATACATAGTATGATCATTGCAGTCCAAACATCGTGGAAACAACAAAGGGTAAGCTAGTGTAAATAAAATCAACATACATATATGCGTAATATGATGATAGAAAACAACTACGGCTATCAGCATACCAGCACTGCTTATACCACTCACAGCATACAACATTCTCAGCACCGCATTGCGGCAATATCAGCACTGCTTAGCAGCAATAACAGTACCACAATAGTGGCTATAACGGCACCGCTTAGCGGCAACAACAGCACCGACTTAGTGGCTATAATAGCACCACATATGTGGCTAATAACAACACCGACTTAGCGACGATAACATCATACAGTTCAGCACAACACAACACAACAATTCAACACACTTATTACTCACAACTCAACCTAACATTCCATAGTACCACAAGACTATAACTCAACTTTTTAATTCATCGATCACGGCCCAACTCAGCACAACATTATACCTCTAATACAGCTAAACATTATTTTCTCAGCCTTATCACCTAGTCAGCACAGCATATTCATCAAGTTTGGCCTAGTTCAGCATATAACAACATTGATTATCAACCTCAGCAAAATTCAACGGCTAACAACATGTATAACCATACCTCCTTGCGCGCCCGGCGCACTCGAGATCACGCCCAGCACGGCTCAACCCGAGAGCACCAGGGGCCAGCGCGCCCAGTGCAAGAATACTCGCGCCCGGCGAGACTCAACCCGAGAGTCCAAGACTCTCACGCGCCTGGCG